GAGTGAGACTCTAACCCCAGCCCTTCCCCCCAAAAAGAAAGAAAGATAAAGGAGATAATAAGTTGATGAATTTTGAGAAACTGACATCCCTCGGACTTTGAGGGTTGAGGAAGTAAGCCTGGGCTGGCCCTGGGGTTTCTGCCCTCAGTGATCAGACATTCTTAGAGACGTGTGGGACTTACAGGTAGAAAAAGCAGACCTGGGAGTTTGAAAGAAAGGTCAGTTTGACTTAGTAAACATTTTGATTTATAATTTAAAAGATGATATTGATAGATATAGTGTGAACTTCATTTATTAAATGGTTGATAGGCTCCCTGAGAGCAGAAACTCACCTTTATATTATAGTCCATCAATTCTTAGCATATAAACTGGTATGTAGAAAGCACTCCAAAATGTTTGTCATTGAAGGAATTATTCAAGCTAAGCTAGCACTTGTTCTTAAAAGTAACCATCACCACAATATGCTCTGGAACCACATCAAGCTGATTTGTAAATAGGTGCTTCCAAAGTGCTTAAAATAGTACTATTCTTAAGAGATGTTTGTCTTAAATTATTTAAAAATCATTGTTAATGTTTAGCAAATCCTCTGCAGTTTGTAGCAGGTAAAGATATCCATGTGGTTCCCCATAACATATGGTACAGGTTGTGCAAAAAAATGAAGTAATGCTACATAAATATTCAGGGTCTCTTGTGTGTATTTTGGTCTATTTATAACACTGTTTTCCTCTGGAGGGTGGTTTACTGCTGTAGTTTACAGGGTCCAGAAAATTAAAATATTTGGACTACAAGGCTGTATATTAGAGTGACTTTAAGGAGCTTGGGCTCTAGAATTAGGGTATCTGGCTCTGAATCTCAGTGCTGCCATTTCCTGGTATGTAGACTTGAGTATTTTCACTCTCTGTTTTTGCATCTGTACTAATGTGTCATAAAGTTGTCATGAGGATACAGTGAAAGACTCACTATTATGGGCTTAGCACAGAACTCAGCACATTGTCAGAACCCAAATATCAGCTATTTTTATTTAAATCACCTTTGTTTATCATGTGGGATGGATGGTGGTAAAATACAGCATTTCCTGTGTCTCATTTATGATGAGATTTCTTTGATTTATCTTGAAATGTAAATCTTTTCTCTTTAGACCCTCTCAATACATCTGATGTCTGTGTTTCCATCTTAAGGCAGAACAAAAGAGAAAGCATGGTCCGAGGTTTGATCTCAATGAAATGATCATTTCAGAGAGCATCAGCCTGGACTTGTAGCTTTTGATTAATTGTAAGTGACATTAGGAACGTTTGTGTGAAGACCAGGGGGCTCCCTCTGCAGATGTTATCGAACAGGCACCAACTGGTGGCCAGCTCCTTGGAAACCAGCCACACTGGGCCTGTTGTTACTTCAGAATCACCTTCTGGGGCAAGTTGTCCCTGAGCAAACCCTCAGCTTGCTGAGGCACAGTGTCCTGTGACAAGTTTAGAGTTACCTGGGAGGAGAAATGGGTTGGTCTGATCAGCATTCAGGCCTCCATCCTCAAATGATGTGGTGCTGTGTGTGAGTCTTAAATCTCACCTGAGGTCCTGATTCCACACTTGTAGGTTGTTGATCTCCTAGTTAACATTTCATGAGGGAAGACAGTAATTGAGTCAGTGTTTGGATGAGACTTTAGATATTGGAGAACATAGATATGTAATTCATTCTTTCATACAGTGTCAGATTTGGAACCACATCATCCTCATAATGCATCACAAGCCCACCATTGCTCACAAACTTTTTTTTTTTTTTTTGAGTTGGAGTCTCACTCTTGTCGCACAGACTGGAGTGCAGTGGCCGCTCCCTCCCGGCCACCGCAGCCTCGACCTGCTGGGCTCCGGCGATCCTTCTGCCTCAGCCTTCCAAGTAGCTGGAACTACAGGCGCACGCTACCACGCCCGACTAATTTTTGACTTACTGTAGAGATGAGGTCTCACCAAGTTGCCCAGGTGGGTCTTGAAACCCGCGGGCTCAGGCAATCCATTCACCTCAGCCTCCCAAAGGCGTGGGATTACAGGCTGAGCCACCGAGCCCGGCTGCTCACAAACTTTTTGAGTAGGGTTATGAATTATTCCTTCTCTCTCTCACCATTCAAGCTAGAAACTACAAGAATCTTTGACACAAAAATATGTACATATATATTCTTTCCTTTTTTGGGTTTAACAATCATTTTATTTTCAACTACACCTTAGTATATTGTAATATGAAATAAGACCCCATTAAGTGTTTTATGTCTTAGGATATTCCTTTTTTATTTATTTATTTTTTTTAATCGAAGTTCCCACCTAGGGACTGAATAACTGAATTGCAGAAACAAATATTTCAAATATGGAGCTACAATCATCACGGAAATTTTCTGAAAACAAGAGAAACGTGATCCTGGAGTCTAGTGTCAGATTCTAGTTCGAAACTTTCAGAATTAACAAAAAATTCTACAGAGAGGTATTTTGAGCTACATAATGACATTGAGAATGTACACAGGCTCTTTTCCCCTCTCCCACACTCCTTCAAATCCCCTCTGCCCTCAGCTTCTCAAAAAGAAAAAAAAACAACCATCGCCTCTAGTTGGCAGTAGAATTTATTCAGTAATTTACTTTCCAGCCAACTGCAGCCATTGCCATTGCCTCTGGGCACTTGTTCAAAAACGCAGAAATGAAATAACAGATTGGCCAGACCGAACACAACTCCCCAGTCACAACCCTATTATCTCCTCATTCTGTCACCCCCATTAGGCAAAAGCCTGGGAGACGGAGAGTGACAACATAGTATTTATGCAACTTGTATATCCCCATAGCTGAGGCTTCCTGCCAGTATCCTTCATCCTGTTACCCTGCGCATAGGGTGGGTGACACTGGAGGTGTGACATCAGATTCCCAGACCTGAGCTGCAGGCCTGCCTCTGCCCGTCCATCTTGAAGGGCATCTGTGCTAACCTCATGCCTGGGAAAGAGCTTCCCAGTCCTGAGAAAACCAAAACAAGATGAAGGGACCAGCTCTTTCCATTTGTTGACCGCCCACCTGTGAATGGATCTGGTTGAAGCCTCAGTGTATGGGCTTTATACAATCTTGAGTATATCTCAATTACCAGAAGGAATTTAGTTTTGTGTTATTTATAGCTGTTCTATTGAGGTCTGTGCCAAGGAAAGCAGTTGCTTCATTTAATATTGGCCACACGTGGCCTGCAAGACCATCTTCTGAAAAACTCTTGAGATTTCTCTGGACATAATGAAAGTAGAAGAGAGGAGGATCCCTGTTTAATCCTGAGAGAATTGTTTTCTGACTGTCTCCTTCTAGTGAACCTTCTTTTAAAATCACAGGCACAAGATGAAAATTTCTGGTGAGGGTGTTGAGGTTGCTTTCCACCCTTGGTCAAGAATTAAAATAGAGAAGTTGTAGAACTCAAATGGTGAGAGAAATCCAAAGCTTTTTTCTTCTAGAATAGTCTACCATATAGACACTGTTCCTTTGCAGTGGTTGGCTTTTTGGAGTGGTTTGTGCCCCAGTGAGTTTTGCCTTTTATTCTGTCTTCATTCCATGCACCTTTGCAATATAGCCCCATAATTAGACTTTTAATTAGTGAGTAATTCTTAGAGGAGATGAAAGGTTGGGGGGATACTGCTTGTGAAAGGTTGTGGGATGCTGCTCACATTACCCCCAAATCTTCTTTTGTCCAACTTGGTGGTAGACACAATCAGATCTGATTATGTGGCGCCCTCACCCCCTGCTCAGAACCCCTGATTCAGCCCTACTCCCTAAGGATTTCTGGCCATTAGGTGGTCAAATGTGGATGATTTCTGCCTGAGACAAATGACAACCTTGTTCTGAAAAAATGAGAGTGTATAGTTTAATAATTTTTAGACAGATTTTCCCCTAAAATAAAGAGCAGCATGGCCAAGCTCGGTGGCTCAGCCTGTAATCCCAGCACTTTGGGAGTCCAAGACAAGTGGATTTCCTGAACCCACGGGTTTGAGACCCGCCCAGGCAACTTGGCGAGACCTCGTCTCTACAGTAAATCAAAAACTAGCCAGGCATGGTAGCGTGCACCTGTAGTTCTGGCTACTTGGAAGGCTGAGGCGGAAGAATCGCCAGAGCCTAGCAGGTCAAGGCTGCGGTGGCTGGGAGCATGCAACTGCACTCCAGTCTGGGCGACAGAGACTCCAACTCAAAAAATAAAAAGCAGCATTTGGACCTAGGCAGGAGGGAATTGCTTGAGGCCAAGAGTTTGAGACCCACCTGGGCAATATAGTGACACTCTATCACTACCCAAAAAAGAAAAATTAGCTGGGTGCAGTGGTATGAGCCTATAACCCCAGCTACTCAGGAGGCTGAGGTGGGAGGATCGCCTGAGCCCAGGAGTTGGAGGCTGCAGTGAGCTGTGATTGCACCACTGCTTTCCAGCCTGGGTGACAGAGCAAGACCCTGCCTCTTTTTTTTTTTTTTGAGTTGGAGTCTCACTCTGTCGTCCAGACTGGAGTACAGTGGCCACACCCGGCCACGGCAGCCTCGACCTGCTGGGCTCCGGAGATCCTTCCGTCTCAGCCTGACAAGTAGCTGGAACTACAGGTGCGTGCTACCACGCCCGGCTAATTTTTTGAATTATTGTAGAGATGAGGTCTCACCAAGTTGTCCAGGCGGATCTCAAACCCGCGGGCTCCGCCAATCCACTCACCTCAGCCTCCCAAAGTGTGGGATTTCAGGCTGAGCCACCAAGCCCGGCTGAAGACCCTGCCTCTTAAAAGAAAAAAGAAGAAGGCAGGGTTTGGTTCAGGCTAACCCATCCTAGAGAGCATTATTCTCATGTGAGGGTTTGCTGTGGACTTGTGGGAGAGGGCAGTCCCTTGCTGGTCTCAGGTAAGAAAGAACAGGGCAGAATGAAAAGATGTAGTTATGGATGAGGTGGCCTGTATTACATTTGTAATTGTTGTTTATCCTTGCTGATGGAGCCCTAACTGTCCTCTCTGTTCCTTTTTATACCAGCTCATACCCCAGACAACAGCTTTCTGGGGTTTGTGGTTGAGCAGCATCTGAACTCCAGTGACATCCACCACATTAATGAAATCAAAAGGCAGAACCAGTCCCTTGTGTATGGCAAAGTGGATAGTTTCTGGAAGGTGAGTCGGTCTGTGTGTCTGTCTCTGAAAAGAAGCTTGTTGGGTAATTTAATTTAACTTTGATCCAGGGAGTAATCAAGCCAAGGGCCCAGGGCTTAATGGAATCTGCTTAGAAGTAAACAAGAATGTGCAAGAATTGGGTTGCTTAGCATTGAGTTTCTAACCAGGCTGTGCCTGCCCATCTGGTAATGGCCATACAACAAACCCCTTTGCTCTGCATGCCAGGTGTGCCGCATTGTGGCTTCTTTCACATCTTGTACTTGCTTCTGAGAGCAAGGTCCCACAAGGTGTCTTTCTGGAACTTGGCACTGCACGGGGAAAAACTTTGCCAAGGGAGTCTTCTCCTCTGCTTCTGGGAAAAATAGTCTGTGGAGGTAGGCCACCGCCTTTCCTGAGGAATGTAGTGGGCTTCAGAGCCTTTTGTCTGGAGTCAATATTCACTTGAGCTGGAAAGGGAAATGCCGGTCGGAGCTCACAGTGGACAGTTTTTTCAGGGAGGTCTTGACTAAAAAGCTTTCTTGGTCACAGGCTGAACCAGGTTTTTCAAAGGCATTGAGCCCCTTTGCCCTTTTGGGATGATTTCCAGAGTATATCTGGTAAAGCTACAACAGGAGAGGAACCAGATTGATGTAACTGTTGATGGATGATGCATGTCTTTTTATATGGGAAGTCTGCCACAGTGGTCAATTGTCATAATTTTGTGTGCGTGGGGAAATGTTTTTGTAGGACAGAAGTCTCCAGGAACTCAAAACATGCCTCTTCCTAAATGTAAGAATTACATTATGCTTTGTAATATGGGAAGTCTGCCTCAGTAGAAAATTGTCATAATTTTGTGGGAGATGGAGGAATGTTTTTATAGGGCAAAAGTCTCCAGGAACTCAAAACATGCTTCTTCCTAAACATAAGAATTACAGTATGCTTTTTGGAGTAATCATGAACTGTGGTCTCATGCTTCTGTGTCTCCCCTGTCAAGGAAGTTGGAAATCCTACAGCTGAGGGAGCACAAGGGATATATAGAGTAAAGATTCCCTGAGGGTGAAGGTCTTCCTTCACCCTCAGATTCTAGGACTTGTTGAAATTCTGAAGATTGAAAATTCTCAATGAGATTTCTTTAAGACTCAGTGTCTTAAAGAAAAGCCTCTGCACCTGCTTAAAGAAAATAGTTTGCATGTCTGTTTGAGCTTGACCTTTAAATTACAATACTTCTGTTTTGGAACCAAATGCAGCCACTACCTAAGTGCCTCTGGCAACTTTTTTCATTTTCCTTTAAAAACAAAACATTAAATTGGTTCTGGAGGCTCTCTGTTCACCTGTTTTGGATAAATTAATACTACCACTAAAAGAATGACTTCCTTGTGCTGGTCAGAATCCCAAAGCATTAACTTTTGCCCTAGTGATTTGGAAATCCTTCCATATTTTGAGGTGTTAAAACTGCAGGTGCCCAACCCTCCTCTTACCTGTACTGTATATCACCTAAAGATTAAAGATTACTAAATGCTGAGTAGCAGTGTGACCACATTCGTCTTTACTTGAATACCAAAATTCTGGGGTGTTATTTCGATTTTAATTACATCATTCCAGCATTCTATGCTGTAAAAGGGCCAAGAAGATGACAAATACTGTAAAGTTTTCACATGAATTCAAGACATTATCTCCAATTCTTGAACATAGCACAGTATGTGAGAATTTATTTTCTTTTTCCAAGACGTCTCCATCCCAGAGTACTTAGTGAATGCACACAGAAAACAGATGTGCCTTTTAAGTGAGATGTTATTCCAACCACATTTCCGAAGTTGCATTTGGCTCGGTCTTTAGCTGGAGCTTTATAAATGGATTTCATATTTTGTGTTCCATTGTCCCCCCCTTCCACCCAATCCCTCATTGCCTCAGAGATCTTCAGGAAGAAAAATGATACCTGTCCATCCCGGGGGATGCTGGGATTGGGAATGCAGAAAGGATGTGGGAAGATGCAGTTTGGACCAGATGATTTTGGAAGGTCTTCCTTCACCCTCAGATTCTAGGACTTGTTGAAATTCTGAAGATTGAAAATTCCTGCTTTGCTGTAAATCCTGCTTCACTTTTCCTAGCACCCTCTTTTCCCAGCAAGTCTCCCTGCATACCAGGCACTTGAGTGGGAAATGCCACCACAGGACTTCTTGGCTGATTGAACAGGGGACAATCCAGCTTGTTGGTTGGTAGAACCTTGACTGTGGCTCAATGAGATTGTATCAATGAGATTCTTTACTTGGTGTTGGAAAACAGAGGGACAGTGAGAATAAGCCGTGGAGACAGAAATCAAAAGGATGTACTGACTTGTGATGAGAACAGGGCAGAAGCCTTCCAGGAGTCCACATCATGAAGCAGGGCCCATGTTGAAAGGGAGAGAGGAGCTGTGGGGAGGAGAGGCACGGCTATGAAAGAAGAAGGAGTGCTATCGAGAGGCTGAGGAGGGTAGAAGACAGAGGGTATAAGCCCTGCAGCTTAGAGACAAAGTAGCTGCTGGAGTTCTTGACAGCTTTCTTTATCCTCACGTGTCTTTTTCTCACACTCTGTTTCCTTGCAGGATCTCTTTCTCACACTCTGTTTCCTTGCAGGATCTAAGTGCCTTCTTCTCTATAGTCATATCAAGAATGTCTACTAAAATATATAGGTCTTCCCTGAATTCAGAACGCCTATCAGAAGGCATGTCTGTTAAATACAGACACTAAGAAACAGCAGGCTTTTCGGTCAATCTTCTGTTCTCAAGTTTATGACCGCAGTCCTTGTCCTTATGTGATAGTACATAGTCTGGATGTGGGTGTGGGAGGGAGAGAACCTTGCCTTCAGGCCAGAATCCCAAAGGCACCAACTTAGGCAGCATCTCTGCCCTGGCCTCTTAGTATCAAATGAGACTGTGAACAGCCTAATCCAAATACAGATCTCTTTTCTTAACCCAAGAACCCACAGTTCTGGGTTCCTGACCTGTAGCTGTGGGGCTATTTGATCATTGGCTCCTGCTAACACCCAGAGGTGTGCCTAGAAGAAGTGCAGTCTGTCCAGTATGGCCGAACTCAAAATCCTTCAACATCCTGTTACCCCTGATTCAAACCCAGGGTGAGGCTAAGATGACTTTCTTGTAAGCACCCAGGTAATGCTGATGGGCTGTTGGCAAAGCACATTTTGAGCAGCGAGGTCTTGGGATATTTGGAACTCTGTACAGTGCTTGGTGCTAAGTAGCTGACCAATCCATGAATAAGTAATTCCTCTTCTTACTTTTGCCTTCCTGCTGCTCTTGGAAGACCATCAGCTACCATGACATTTTTTACTACTATGGGCAACTGGTTCAGACATCCCCAATCTCACTTCCCATAAGCACATGTGCAGATCTTGCTATTTCAAGTCTCTGCCTCCTGGCCCCTAGAACAAGGCAAACCTGCGGTGAGCAGTGGGCTCTGAGAGGTGAGTGGCATGCTGCCTTCCTCGTGACCTGCTGTACTGGTTCTACGTGCAGGTGCCCCTGGGCCATGTGATCTAGAGTGCAGATTGGAAGCTGCCTAGCTGGGTTCAAATTCTCACTCGGCCACCAGTTACCTGATCTTGGGCAAATTTCCTGTCTAAATAAATGTTTGCTGCTGTTATTAATGTCATTATCAAGGCAGATAGGAAACACCACAGTGGGACTTGGTGGGAGTATGAGATAGGCTTGTGGATTCTGTGACAAACCGGAAAATCCAAGCCTGCCCAAAGATATTTAGATTCCAGTTTTTAAACCATGTTAAGTGGTTGGCAACTCTAGCCTGTGGGCCAAATCTAGCTCACCATGTGTTTTTGTAAATGGCATTTTACTGGAATACAGCCACAGCCTTTCATTGTCCATGGCTGCTTTTGCACTAAAATTATAGAGTTGAGTAATTGTGACAAAGATGGTGTGACCTGCAAAACCTAAAATATTTACTGCCTGGCCCTTTTCAAAAACAGTTTACTGACCCCTGAACTATGCCATGTCCCAAATAAACCAAGTCTCTCTCAGAGGACCGATGGCCTGCGGTCCCTGGAATAGGTCTCATCAGAGGTCTTCCTAACTTGTTTGGGGGTTCTCAATTATGTTCTGCTATATGATTGAGACTGATGGATAAAAAACACATGTAAATATAAAGTGTGACTTTATTAAACTGCCGATTACTCTAAAGATGAAGCCCCAGGCACTGACCCTGACACCTCTTCATACGCATTCAACAAAAGCTAGTGCTTGTTCAGCAACAAATGCATTGATAATAGAGGAGGGCCTCAAATTCCTGTGGTGCTTCCACTTCTGATCTCCCTTTACCACTGTCCTTTAAGACATGCTGATGCCTTTCAAGGAAGCTGTTATCTTTCTTAACTATCCTGGCTTATAGATGAGGAACTGGCTCAAGGAGATGGAGTGACAGCCAAACCCTAGAGAATGCCAAGTGGCAAAGCCAGGACCAGGACTGGGACTCTACCTCCCCTCTTGGAGATTGCCTCCTTGCTGCCACTGGCTCCGTGTAGCTGCTCCTCCACCCCTACCCTGGAGGCTGGGTCCCTGTTTGGAGTGGGATTCTGAAGCCAGGAAGGAAGGTATCCCTGGGTGACATAAGTGTGCAGCAGGAACCCTGAGCAGATATTTGCATAACAGGCAAAATGTTGCTCCTGGCTGCTCATTCCATGGTGGCCAAGTCAGCAAATCCTTGCTACTCATTCTTGCCTTATTTGAACAATGCAAATCTTGACTGGCTCTGGATCCCAGGAACTGGCTTGCTCCGGCCCTAACCTGCCTGGCAACAACCAAAATCAACCAGTCTCACCTGAATTTGGAAAGCTCCTTTGTATCTAGACCTCAATGACTTTATGGTTTTAAAGCATTCCCTCAAATGACACATGGTTCCTTTGCTATATAGGCCTGAGGAATGAGGCCACAGGACTTCCAGAAATGTGATACAGTGTTCCCCTCATCCTACCCTGTTCCACTCCATTCTCTAGACAGCAACAGCCAGAGTGAT